GGACCGCGGTTCGATCCCCAGCACCACATGCCAGCCAGACCCGCCCCCTGGTGGGCTGAGCTGGCCACACACACACACAATAAATAAATGTAATAAATAAAAATAAATAAATATAAAAAAACAAACAAACAAACATTCCATCCCTCCAAGAAAGAATAGAGAAAAGCACTTGGGTAGGCAAAAAGAATAGCTACCACAACCCACTGTAAGTGCAGTATGACTGGAGTCCCCTTGCTTCCCTCATCCAACTGATGACCTCCTGCTCATGCTTCATGATCTATCCGCCAATACACCACCACTGACTCTTCATAGTACAACTTGTTTCTCCTTCAAAGTTCCTTACAGGGGTCTAGGAGATTGCTTAGCACCATATGCACCTGCCTGGCAAGTGCAAGGTCCTGAGTTTGATCCCCAGTACTGATAAAATGAAAAAAAAAACAAAACAAAGTGATCCTTTTATTATTCTGTCAATGTATGTTCAATAGCAAGTGTAATGAAGTTGGAGAGACCTACATTCAAATTCTAGCTTTGTTAATCAGTAATTTTGTTATGTAGCCTCTTTGAAGTGGATGTCATATTATGTTTGTTTGTTTTCTAATTCATTTAAACAAATCAATTTGGGGAGGGGCACTGGATATTGAACCCAGGGTTTCACATTTGGAAAGCAAGCATTCTTCCCTGGGCTATGATCTCAGGACCATAACTGCTTTTTTCCTTTCTTCCTTTCTACCAAGGACTGAACCTGGACTTTCACACTGAGTAACATCCTCAGCCCTCCTGCTTTTGTTAACTTTTGAGACAGGATCTCTCTAACCTGCTAAATTGCTCAGGCTGGGTTGAATTTTTGATCCTCCTGCTTCAGCCTCCCAGAGTGCTGGGATCACAGATGTGTGCCACTACACCTGGCTGTTCCTTATCTTTAAAATGGGGATACCACTGTCAACCTCAAAGGTCTGTTTCTGAGTTTAAAGACATCAATATGAAGCAAATGACACATTTTAGACACTCCAATAATGTTAGTCTGGCTGTCTTCCCCTTACCCCATTCTACATTGGAATACACTCTTTGAAGCTTGTTTTTTGCTCATGTTCTTCCACGTCTAGGTGGAGCTTGGCATGTATTTGACTTGTGGGGGCTTGTGAGATAGCTCAGTGGGAAAGCGCCTTCCTGGCAAGTGCAAGGTCCTGAGTTCGATCCCTGGTACCACACACACAGAAAAAAGTTGCATGTATTTGACTTATGATACATGTCTGACAACTGGTATAGGAGATACTGTTTTGATGAAAAAAAAATTACCTTGTATAATCAGCTGAATACAGGACTTAGCTGGTAAGCTATAAATTCCCTGAAAATAAGATATTGGGTAAATCTCTGCACTGTCTCTAAGCCATTTCTGTGCTTTAGCAAAAGGGCTTTGCTGGTGAGATTGTTTACTTTTAGAACTCATTCTCCTGCCTCTCCTGTTTTTTACAAAACACCTCTTTTTTGTAGTTCTAAGACTCAAACTTAGTTTTTGAGGCAGAGTCTCACTGTTTCTCAAGCTAAGCTCAAATTTATAATCCTCTCCCCTTAGACTTACAAGTAGGTAGTATTATAGCTATACACTCAGGTCGTTGAGATTTATTTTTTATTTTTATTTATTTATTTATTTATTTATTTATTT